ACGGAACAAATCTCCTAATTATATTTTACAACAAATCCTAAAAGAGAAATAGAATAAAATCCTATCAAATAGAAAAATAATAATAGAAATATTATCCTATCAAATAAGGGAAATAATTATTGTCGCAACATTCCCCCTCTCTTGGAAAACTGGCCTTGTCCTCAAGGCTAGAATTCTGGGAACTTTTGTGTGATCTTTAAAGCATCTTTCCAGGTTGCATCTTTAGGGTATTGTGCAAGTGGTCTATTATTCCTCTTGATCATGCACCTGTCTAAGACTGCAAGGGATTCTAACTACATTCTCCCAACTTCTTGGACAGGGGGCAGTTCTGTTTGCTGAACATTGGCAGCGCCTAACTTCTTCTTTAAACATGAAACATGAAAAACAGGGTGAATCTTGGACTGAGGAGGCAATTCTAGCTTGTAAGCCACGAGTCCAACATTCTGGAGTATTCTGTAAGGTCCGTAAAACCAAGGAGCTAACTTTCGGTTAACCTTAAGAGCTAAGGAAGTTTGCTTGAAAGGTTGTAAACGAAGATATACCCAGTCACCTACATCAAAAGCTCGTTCTGTCATTTGCTTCATTCTGTTTTGGGCTTGCTGCAAATTTTCCTTGAGAAGGCATACCATCAATTCTCTATCCCTCAAAGCTTGATCTATTGCTGCCACCAAGGATTCTCCAGGGATATAGGAAATATAAGAAGGTTTCCTACCATAGACCACTTCAAATGGCGTCATTTTAGAAGAAAGATGAAATGAGGTGTTGTATCCCCATTCAACCAATGGTAACCACTTACTCCACTCCTTGGGTTTATCTACTATCATGCACTTCAAATATTGTTCTAAACTCTCATTAACAATTTTTGTTTGCCCATCTGTTTAGGGATGATAGGCAGTATTCATCAACAATTGAGCTCCCAGTAATTTAAAGAGCTGCTCCTAAAATTGACTGGTAAAAATACGATCCCTATTACTTACAATGGCTTGTGGCAGCCCATGTAATTTATAGATATTATCTAAGAACAGTTGAGCGACCTCTTTAGCTGTAAAAGAATAAAACAAGGCAAAAAAATGAGCATACTTAGTCTATCCACAACCACTAAGATAACCTCGTTGCCATAGGACTTGGGAAGGCCTCCTATGAAATCCATGGATACATCAGACCAAATCTGTTCTGGTATAGGAAGTGGCTGTAAAAGCCCAAGAGTTGCTACAGTTTCAGATTTATTCCTCTAACAAGTCTCATATTTAACCACAAATCTACAAACTTCTCTCCTCATCTTCCAATAAAAAGCTCGTCTTATTCTTTCTAAGGGTTTTTTTGGTTCCTGAATGTCCTCCCTTGACCCCACCAAGAGCATCTTGTAATATTTTTAATTTCAAAGTGGATCCTTCCCCCAACCATAGCCTCACTTTATATCTCAATTGATCATTTGCTCATGAGAACTTAGAGTACAAATTTTGATCAACGACTAACTCTTGGATTAATTGTTGAATCTTCTCATCCTTCTTCCATTCATCTTGAAAATGTTCAGCCAATCAGCTACAAGACACGATAAAGCCATAATAACAGATTCATCTTTCTCCTCCAACAACCTGGATAAGGCATCCGCTGTCTTATTTTCCTTGCCGTTGCGACAAATAATTTCATAATCATAACCTGCCAATTTACTGAGCTATTTCTGCTGCATCGGAGTTGAGATTCATTGTCCCAATAAATACTTCAAGCTGAGATGGTGTGTAATTATTTGGAAATGATGGCCCACCAAGTATGGTCTCCATTTTTGTACAGCATTACAGCTGCCAACATCTCCTTCTCATTAGCAGAAAGGCCTAAAGTTTTAGGTGCCAAGGCCTTGCTCATGTATGCTATTGGTCTGCCTTCTTGTAGCAATTAGATGGAGCATTAGTTAACTCAAAAGGCATAAAGAGATATTCGTAATACCATTCGTGGGTCCTAAAAACTGTTTTATGAATATCAACAATATTTACTCTTATTTGATGAAAACCAGATCAGAGATACAAGTTAGAAAAAAGATTTGCCCCATGTAACTCATCTAATAATTCGTCAATAACAGGGATAGGGAACTTATCTTTGATGGTATTTTGTTGAGGGATCTATAATCCACGCACATCCTCCATGATTCATCCTTCTTTTTAACCAACAAAATTGGAGAGGAGAAAGGTCTCACACTTCTCTGGATCATTCCAATTTTGAGCATTTCCTGCACCATCTTTTCAATCTCTCCCTTTTGCACATGAGGATACCTATATGATCAAATATTGGGTGGAACTGACCCTGGCACAAGAGGTGTTTTATGATCGTACTCCCTTTGGGGAGGTAATCCTTTTGGCTTAGCAAAAATACTCAAGTGTTGCTGCAGTAAGTGAACAAGTTCCTTGGACTCACTTTCATCTTCCTCTATCTTTTCTTCACCTTCTATTCGTATGGAATAGATGTGGGCAGCATATGATTGAGACAAGTGTTTCAGTTCTTGCTGAATACAGGTTGCAGATATCATCTTAATAGGAGCCATAGTAGCACCTCTCAACACAAATTTTCTTCCCATAACAGAAAACTCCATTCTCAGACTTTTGAAGTCCCATAATATCAGCCCCAACTCTGCTAGCCAATGAATTCCCAAGACCATATCACGACCGCCTAAGGGTAAAAGTCTCAAATTAGGTTGAAACTCTTTCCCCTGCATAGTCCACTTAAGTTGCCTACAAATTGCATCGCTCACAAATTTGGTTCCATCCGCCACAACCACTTTCATAGGGCTAACATGTTGCATTATGCAACCCGTTCTTTTTGCAACAACTGGGTCAAGGAAGTTATGAGTGCTTCCCAAGTCAATAAGTATAATAATGGTCTTTTTCTTGATGTTCCCACGGATTCTCATAGTTTGATGAGAGGCTGATCCAAAGATTGCAAGAAGAGAAACAACATGATCATCACCTTCAGATGCAACCTGATCATCTTCCTGGCTCTCCTTCTGTGGCCAGGCTCATACTTTTCATCACAGTAATAGCATAGCTTTTTGTCTCGTCTTTCCTGCATTTCAACGGCAGGAATTCTCGTGATCGGAGGCGAATTGTTATCGATCTTTTTGCTTGTTGAATAATTAGTGATATTAACACCACCTTTATGTACCCCTTTGGCTTCTTTAAGAATAGCCTCCATTGTGCCTTCCTGTAGTAGAGCTAACCCAATGGTATGGGTTAAGGTTGTTGGTTTGAACATGGTTACCTGATTCTTGATTGCATCCTTCAACCTACTAATGAAACATTACACAAAAAATCTTCAGGTAAACCACTAGTTCTGGCCATTAATGTTTCAAATTGTTCTTGATATGCCCTTACTGCAGAAGTCTGTTTCAGTTTTGTTAGTTGTCCCACTGGGCTTTCATATATATTAGGACCGAACCGAGAGACCATATCGACTGAAAATTTTGCCCAGCTGACATTTGTGTTAGCTACTTCGTATCCCTGAAACGAGTCAAGCCTTACCCTCCAAATGAATTGAAGCTATACTCATCAACTCTTCTCCTTCAACTCCGTTAAGGCAAAAGAATCGGTTGCATTTGTAGACCCAGCCACTTGGATTCTCACCATCGAACTTAGGGAAATTCAATTTAGAAAATCAAGTTTAGACAAAACCACTGTTATTCTGAGAATCATACACACTCCGACCACACCTGCTACTGCCAATTGAATCGTCATTCAGAGTGGTGAATTGATCAAATTTCAAATTGATAGCCGCCACCATCTTTGTTAGATTAGACAAAGAAACAACTTGTTTCTCTGTCGTCTCCTTCAATAACCTTATTGTTTCTTCCAAACGTTTATGTTCCAGTGCTCTAGTCTCGTCTGCCATAAAACGCAGAAGAAGACACAAAGGGAATCCCCTTTTTGCTTGTAATTTTATTGATAACTTTCGATGAACCCTAATACAATCACTAAGGTAATTATAGGAAAAAGAAACAGCAATCAAATCCTAAAAAAAGAAATCAAATCCTAAAAGAGAAATAGAATAAAAGCCTATCAAATAGTAAAATAATAACAGAAAGTGCTTTTCACACCATTCCATTATATGTCGGTTGTATTCAACTCATTCTCTGGCTCCGGCTACCTACTGTGGTTTCTCACCTCAGATCTTGCTAAGACAGTCGTCTTGGGTACTGTTCTGCCACAAGTGGATCGGTGATGAGAACATCATCACCTAATATAGCATACCTGTCGAACAGGATCCCCGGTCTAACCTGTTCCAACAACCTTTTTATTATTGCTTGAGAGTTTTAATATTTGTCCTTGTTTGCACTCATCTCGACTGCTGCTATTTTCCTTCATGTCAGTGATCAAGTTCAGTAAATAGTGTTAGCAAACCAACCATTAAAAAAGTTTACAGCAGGAAGAAGTGTGGTAACAGACTATTAGAGCCACATGGAATTATTGATAAAAGTGATTGTCTGGTTGTTAATTAATTGAGATAGTGGGGGGATGGAATTAATACAGAAGAGGCAAAGATTGTAACTGTCCAGAAGACAGAACATTACAATAAGGTGGGGACTTGTATAAAGAGGAAGGAGGAAGAGTTTGTGAGGTTTCGAGATTGGAAAATTACCATAGTAGGAGAGTCCAGGTCTCTCAAATAAGCTGAAAGGGATACAGTCTGCACTTTTGTATTTATCATCTCTAATTCAGTTCATACATGAGTCTCAAGTTTGTCTTGAATATATTTTCCAGTTTTTCCTATTTATTTAGAACCATTTCTATCATGATACAAATACTCAAAGCATTTGATTCTGGCTTTAACATTCGCATTAACATTCTTGATGTCTCTTTGAACCTTCTAATGAAATAATTGAAGTGGTGACTGATCCAATGACGTGGTGCTAGCACAAAGTAAATTGATAATATAGCATGCAGTATTTCCAAAATCAATACCACAAAACACAGAAATTATAATGGCATGAGCTGGAAAGCCAAGATGATACTCACACCACATAGGGGAACTGAAGCAGTACCAGCATGAGGGCCAGCTAAAGAGATGAAATTTTTAACCTGTTCCAAAAATAAGAAAGAAGAGATTTTCATGAGAAGGACAACAATACAAGAGAGAGAAATTAATACACTAAAACACAGATACAAGAAAGAGAAGCAGAACAAGAAACTAAATTGATATATATTCAAAGCACGTGAATAGCAAACCAATAAAAAAAATGACATTTCCATTTCTATCATCATAATAAGAAACAATAAAAGATGAAACACAGTTAAAAACAAAAAGCTAACCTACATCTATAGTTGTAAATGGAAAATTATATGCACATGTATAACAACCTAAAATTTTTTTAGAAACAACTCTCTTAATTTTCTTAACACTGGTCACTTTTTCCATTGCAGTCCCACTTCTAAAGTATTAAATCCTATAATTTCAGTTATTGCCTCCTCTCAATTATAGATAAGAATTCTAGTTAATATTTCACAGAAACCATTATTCTCTAGTGTATTTTTTATTATGTAGCTGAGTATGTACAATGTAGAAAAACAGATAAAGCAATAAGTCAAAAAAATTTAAAAGGATTGCACAAGTAAAATTTTAGATTCTTACAGGAGGTCCTCCTTCACAAAATTCCACCACAGCTCGACCAATTAAATTCCCCTGTAAGATCAGAAATTCAAGAATGAAGGACAAAAGATTTTAAAATATATAAAAGAGAAGCATATGCGAGATGAATTATGTAATAGAGCAGCCAATTAACATTCCATGCACTAAAAGAAACAGAAACATAGAATGATTGGAGATTGGCCATCTGCCCCAATAGTATATCAATCCCTGTCTCTCTTTTCAGAAAAATAAGTAACTAAACGAAATTAAATGTATAATACACTATCACAACTTCCAGAAAACATGCTCAAAAAACACATAAGCAAAAGGGGAAAAGAGAAGATATTCACGATATATTTTATCAAGGGAACTTGGCTTGTGCAGTATTAGGCCTATAAGCCTGAACCTAGTAACTACAATGGCTTGAAGGATTGCAACCACTATAAGAAAGAAGAGGAATGCTAATAGCTTTGTATTCAACAGAAGGAGATCGTTGGTGAAGCTGAATGGTGCCTAAGATAATGTATAAAACTCATAGTTATCAATCTCAAATAGTAGCGTGTAGCAACCAGCTTTGAAAGCGCTATAGCAGGAAGCAAAGTGACCACTATTTCAAATATTATAATTATGATTATAATACAAACTAATAAACTTATCCTTCACATATAAATACTCATAAACAAGAAAAAAAAAGAGCCCAAAATTAAAGAAATCCATGATAAATAATAAGTCAGTTTACACACACAATCACCATCAATCTAGGAGCAATAAAAAAATAGTAATGAAGTAAAAAACATGAAAGCTGATGGTGAAATTAATAGAAAAAGAACATAACACATTAGATAAAAATTAGCAAAACTTGAACAGGGAGATCTAAAGGAAGAAAAGAACAAAACAACAGGACAAAAAATATAGTCCTGTAAAGTGTGAAGGAATAAAGGTCAAAACAGAGGTAACGTGTGCATGGTCAAAACAGAAGGGTTTCAAATCCTATATCATGGTAGCACTGCTATAGAACGCAAAAAGCCATTACTTTGGTGGCTATTGAAAGCTTTTTGCTATTTGAATCCCACTGAAGCCCGAGGTTGCTCTGCTACTCCCCTATAGCTAGCTATTGACTGCTATGAATTATAACTTTATTGGATGATTATGAAATTTAAAAGAAGGATGAGAACCTTTATTCGACATCAACTTTTACAACACATGAACGTAGCTCTGTCAACATAATTTCCCTACATTGTTGACATCATCTAAAATTTTTTTAAAACTTTTGCAAAGGTCAACTGCTTTCTAATAGATCAATAATCAGCACCCACTAGTGCTCTGAAGGATAGAAACAATGACAATTTGCATGAACGTATAAACAAGAGGAAAACTGAAGAAAATTCCATTTAATGCTTTACCTGGGAGAGTCCAACAATGTTGTATCCTTCCTTCAATTCTTCCATTTGCTTCACCTGTACATTGTGGGAAATGTAGCAAGATTAAATTGAAAATCCTAGAAAGAAATGTTACCACCACACTGCAACAATCCTTTTATCACCTTTTTGCAAACAATCTCAGCCTGCAGACATGTAAAACAAAACAAGTAAGAAATCATCAACGCTGTCAATATCTTCAACATAGCAAATCCTTCTGACCTATTACCTGCTTGTTCAAAGACATAAACCATGAATCCCATGATCCATTGCCTACCTCACTGAACAAAAAGGGAATCTTTATTAGTCATGAAAACAAAATTACAGCCTCTCCTTTCTTAGTATAAAATGTTAACAAAGGCTAGGGAAAATACTAGAAAAGAATGCGACATAAAACAATCAAAATTCCTTTCCTTTATATAATATGGTAAGGATATTAACATAAAAGTTAATGCAAACATACACACAATATCCTTCAGCACCAGAGTCGCTGATCAATTCCTGGGTGAATTTTTTCACCCCATGGTTGGAGCACTGATCCCCAATTCCTGCAATCAAGAATCATTATCATTTATATGAATGGCAAACCAAAAACAGAATTCAAGTATCACAAGGCAATTCATAGGTCCTAAAATTCCAAAATATAAGTAACTACACGAAAATTACAGATTACAATACCATGCATCCATCTTAATTGAAAGCAGATGTGGCAGCAGAAAGGAATTAGATTAACCTAATATATTTCGTTAAATGTAATATAAGATAATTAATTTATTATATAAAAAACTGAAAAAAGACAGTGCAATGATTCAATGTATATGCACTAATCAAGTAGAATCTCAAAAAACAAGCAAGTAAGGGCAAGACACCTTCATCAACCTCGTCAAACGCAGACTTATAACATGAAATGAAAATCTCAAAAAATAAAAAATAAAAATTTAGACTCACTAATAAGTAATAATCAAGCATCTTCCATAAGTTAACACTTAAGAGCAAGAGCAAAGTAACAAGAATATTCTGGTAAGAAAAACGTGAACAAAAAACAAAAAATGGAAGAGGTGAAAGTACCATGAAGGACAATGAAGGGTATTGAGTGTGAAATGGGGAAGACGAAGGCTATGAAGATGAAGAGAGAGAATAGTGAAGGAAGAGCCATCATAGTGGGAACAAAAGGTAGTTTCTGCAAGATTAAGGAAGGCTTAGTATGGTATTGTTGCTCCTCCCCAGTCCCCAATCTAATACATGTTTGGTTGCAATTGGTGCCACACCAAACAAGAAAGACTGATGGAAGAACATTAAATGTTTTTATTTTTTATTTTTAGGAAAAGTATTGTAATTTTTATAAAAGTTTTGTTAACTTTCGACTGAGTTTATGCTTTCTTTAATAGAAAATTTTTAAAAATATTTATATTTTTTTAAAATAAATTATTAATTTCATCATATTTTATAATTTAGAAGACTAATGAAAAATAATAATAGACACTTGCTAAGGGACCGATAATCACTTTTATAAGTTAAGTTTAAATATTTTAAATATGTGATAACATGTATGTTAGCAAATAGCAAGTACGTTGAAGTAGACTTGAATAATTTTATATTATTCAAGTATTACTTATTTTAATTTAATATTAATTAAAGTAAAATTGTATTCAATACTTAGAAAAAAAGTAAAATAATTATATATAATAAAACTGTCTTTGTTTTAGATTTTTTCAGTATTTAAAAGAAAATATTTGTAACTAATTTTCACATTTTGAAATACGTAAAAAATAAAAATAGTTATAGATGATATTGAATTTTAATAATCTGAATTATTTTTTAATTAATTCACATTATCTCGAGTAGTTGATAAATAATACTAGAGAAATAAAAAAATTGAAGATGTTTTCAAATTTTATAAAATACTAGTAGTCTAATTTAAAGTGAATTAAAACTTAGGGAATTTCAAATATTAAAAAAAAAAGGAAGGAAAGTTCTTGTTGGAAGCGCAGGCATGGAGACAGGTGAAAGATGTTTAAATGATTCATAAATGACATAAAAGTACGCTATTGGATCTACTATTCTTTGTTTGACTTGTCAAGCAATACCATTAAAGAATGGCATCAATGTTGTTGGGGTAGTTCCTACGTGAATGGATGAAATTAACCCAATGCCAAGTGCCAACAAACACCCGTCTCTTGTGGACTTTCTTCCTTTTTCACAGTGTCGCTTTGGGTAGACGCAATGCCGTTTTGATTCTCCGGCGCAACTGCAGGAGCGATCGTTTTGAGTGTATTTATTAACATAAATTTATAGATTATTCTTTATTATTAAACTAGGAAGGTGACTCGAACCGTACTAGGACAAATTATTATATCATAGTACGATATAATAAATAATAATTATAAAATAAAAAATAATTGTATAAAATATATATAACAATATTTAAACTTTTTTAAATTTTAAAATTAATTAATATATATTAATATTATTATTAATAAAATTATTTCATTGTATTAAGATTTATAATATATTTTTAAATATTTATAAATTAACTTTAAAAGTAAAAGAATTAAACTTAAATATTATTTTAATTTATAAGATTATAAATTTAAATCTATAAAATTTAAAAATATTCTTATAATTAATTTATAATAATTTAACATGTATACATACATATCACAACATAATGATCCATAATAAAAAAAAATTTAATATATTTAAAATTTTTTAATATATTTAAAAAATTTTAAGACAAAAATTATTGAAGAAATAAAATTATATATCTTATCTTACAAAAAAATTATATAACACACAATTCAAGAATAAAAAATATTTATTTTATTGAATAAACTTATTTTATGTTTCTGAAACCATTATCATGTATCATAATTTAACCTCCTCTTATTAAATCATATATTTATTACCTAATTTGTTATTTTAAAATTTTAAATATAAAATAATTTATATATTGTATTAAAACTTACAATATACTTAAAAACAGATTTTGTAAGACTAAAACTATTAAAAGAATAAAATAAATATAACTATTTATAAATATTAAAAACATATCTTATCTTACAAAATTATATAGCACATAATTTAGAAATAAAAAAGATTAATTCTCTTATGCCTAGTAAATATGTCCGAACATATTATATATATATATATATATATATATAATTTATTTATAAAATAATTATAATTAAATATAAAATTTTTTATTTTTAATATAACAGAAAAAATATAAAATAAAAATTTTGATTATTTTTTAAAATAAATTATCTATTAAAAATAAATTTAACAGTTAAAAATAATTTATATGTGACTTTAAACATTAAAATTGTTATTAATAATAATTTAATTATAAATTAGTAAATGTATTTATATGTCACATAAATTTGTTTATATTGTATATTAGTATATATTAATATTATAAATTATAATTTAAAAATAAAAAATATATAATAATAAAATTATATTATATTGAATAATATTAAATATAAATAGATTGAAAACTAAGATAAAAAAGAAAGTTATAATTTTTATAATAAACTTAATTTAAATTTTGAAAGATTTCCTTGTACACCACATTTGTAATAATTTTTATACTTTTTCCATCACAAGCTTATATAAGGATCTTTAATCCCTTTCGATTGGTAACCATAGAGATTGTTAAATATAAATGACCATGAGAAAAAAGTGGTTTTGGAAGAAAAATTCTAACATGCTTAAGAGATTGACCTTAACTTTTGTTGATTGTCATTGCAAAAGAAAAACAATTGAAAATTGTCTTCTTTGAAACTTAAAAGATATTTTAGTATATGAAGGAGTCAAAGATAATATTGGTATGAATACCTTTTGACCAGCATTGTTTCCAGAAATAACTTTAGCCTGAAAGATATAAGTTCCCATTAGAGGAATCACTAATCGACTTCCATTGCACATGCCAGAAGATTGATCTATGTTTCTTAATAACATAATAGGAACGCCAGTCTTCAGCTTCAACTCATGATTTAGAAGACCAGATGATTTAATAGTATTGAGGAATTCCAGAGTGTAAATATTATCAGGCCTGTCAAAATCTGCATAACTCCTACATGTGGAATCCAAACTGAGATATGTTTTTTGTTCTGATGGCATTAAGTCTAACATGTAATCATTTATCATGTCAACAATCTCATTTGTTGGTGCTAGTATAGCACGATCCTGAAAAAACGAAGAATGCATCATGTTGTCCAAAAAAGATGGATATGTTGACTGCACAATAAAAGCAATTGAATCACCAGTTTCCTTTATGAGTAGATCATTTGGTATTTGAACTTTAATTTCTTCATTTAATTGTTCACCAATTGTTCCATTACCTATGCCTAGAATCCAATCTGAATTTTTTTTTAAATCATTAACCTCTGAATTATAACTTCCAGTTTGAAGTCTCATGTTTTTTTGTGAGTTCCAACACTTGACAATGCTCCCACAAATAAGAAGAACTAATAGAAGCATAAATGATGTCTTGTCTCCTTCCTTTTGGAACTACTGGTAATATTTGTCTAAAATCTCCACCAAGAACCACTACTTTCCCCCTAGATGGCCTGTTTAGGTTGTCATAATTAGAGAATCTTAAAATATTTGTAAATGTTCTATCTATAGCCTCAAAACAATTTTTATGACACATTAGAGCTTCATCCCATATTATCAATTTTGATCTAATAATTAACTCAGCCAAGTGACTTCCCTGTTTGATGTTGCAAGTGGAGTCCTCATTCACATTGATAGGAATGACAAATCTCGAATAAGCAGTTCTGCCTCTAGGTATTAATAAAGTAGCAATTCCACTAGATGCAACAGTGAGAACAATTTCTCTTTTAGATCGAATGGCTGCAAATATGGTCTTCCAAATGAAAGTTTTGCTAGTACCACCATAACCATAAAGGAAATAAACTCCTTCAACATTTTTAGAAACAGCTAACATAATTTTGTCATAAATACTTCTTTGTTCATATGTAAATTTAGACAATAAGTAAATCTGCTCAGTAGCCAATGCTTCTGTATCATAATTTATCTCATCAAGAATAAGCCTATTTTATGTTTCTGAAACCATTGTCATGTTTTGCTGAGGCATGGTTGGGAAGTCAGCCAAACTTTTATTGTTGCTCTCTAGCAATTTCTCAATTTCACTAAGTGTAAAATCATGTCCATGCTATTGACTTGAGTTTTAGTTTGAAACTCATGAAAAAATCACAAATGAATAATCTGAACCATTATCTTTCAATCCACCTTCCTAGGTCATATTTCAGAAAGCATTAAAATAGTAGGCACCATTTTGAAAGGATTTTAGTTCAAAATATAGACCAAACAATTAAAAAAAAAAACAACCTGTACTTTTCCTTTTATAGACCAAACAATATATTTTTCACTTTAAGAAAGTTTTTTACTTATTTTTTGTTGTTATTTTTATAATAAACTTAATTTAAAGTTCAAGAGTTTTTTGTAATTTTATTAGTTATCAATTTTCAATACTAAAATTTAAAATAAACATTAATATTAAGGTTAAATCTGCTGCAAAGAATGAACCTTTTGAATATACGAAAATTGCTAATTAGAAATGAATGCATTTAAAATAAACATTAAATTTAAGATTAAATCTGCTGTAAAGAATGGACCTTTTGAATATACGAAAACTGCTAATTAGAAATGAATGCATTTAAGTGATTTGAATTAAATCATTCAAGAAGACCTTAAAGGTAAAGATATATCAAAACTGCTAATTAAAAATGAAAATCAATAGATTTAACTGATTTAAATTAAATCGTTTAAAAATGGCCTTAAATGGTAATTAATTATTAATAATATATAATTAATATAAAGATTATTGTTAAAGAGTGAAGGCAAATTTCTATCCAAAAAGCATTGCAAAGTTCCCTCTAAAACTCATATACTTTTATATATATAAAGATTAATAGAATTATTTAATGAATGAAAAAAATAAGAAAGTTTATAATTGAAAAAATTATAAAGTTTGAAAAACTAGTTTATAAAAAAACTACTTAAATAACGTTCAGTTTAATAGTATGTGTTTGGATTAATTTTTTTGCTAATTATGTTTGGATTAATTTAAACAAATAAATTATATAAAATAAAATTTATGTTTAGAAATGATAAGTGAGAGGTAACTTTCAAAAAAAATTTTATGTTAGGATCGTATAATGAATCCCTATTTTAGAGTGGAATTATAAAAACTGAATACAAAGTTATTTGTATTTAAAATAATTAAATCTTAAGAATAAATTAAAAAATTAAATTTAATTACAAAATA